CTTCACAACATGGGGCCCCCCTCTGATACCAGAACCTTATCCATGATTAGGGTCCAAAATGGATATTAACGGGAGACCTTCCACCAAAGAACTCCTATGGGACCTGCCTCCAGCTGTCAATCACAAGGCAGGCGGACCTAATGAGGAACTAGTCCCTCAGCTTCCCCATCAGACTCCGCCCTACTACGTCATTGGTTGTTAGGACAGATGCCGGTATCCTATCAACCAATGGCACGTCTCCTTTCATCTGGCAGCCAGGAAGCTCCTCAGTCTTGGCCATATTCAGTCAAGGATGTTGGCCAACGTTTGACTGGGGCCGGTGATGCGTCGCTGGTTAGTAGGACATCGAGGGTTAGGTTGTGTTCCATTCTGGTCCTTTCTTAGGTGGGTTCCTCTTCTTCTTGCAGCAGACCCATAACTGAGCCTTCAAATAAAGCTTTATTAACAGTCTTGTTGTCCTCCGGCATCCTAGCAACCAACCATCCAGCTGCCAGCCTTGGAATGCCTCAGTCTTGGCCATATTCAGTCAAGGGTGTCCGCCAATATTTGTTTTTCATTCAGCTGCCGGCTGGGGAATCTCCCGACTGGCAGCTGAATGGGGCCCCCGGGGATGCTTCACAACATGGGGCCCCCCTCTGATACCAGACCCTTATCCTTGATTAGGCTCTGATATGGGTATTAACGGGAGACCTTCCACCAAAGAAATCCTATGGAACCCGCCTCCTGCTGTCAATCACAAAGCAGGTGGACCTGATGAGGAACTAGTCCCTCAGCTTCCCCATTAGACTCCGCCCTGCTACATCATTGACTGTTAGGACAGATGCCGGCATCCTATCAACCAATGGCACGTCTCCTTTCATCTGGCAGCCGGGAAGTTCCTCAGTCTTGGCCATATTCAGTCAAGGATGCTGGCCAACGTTGGACTGGCAGATGAATGGGGCCGATGATGCGTCGCTGGTTAGTAGGACATCGAGGGGTGCTGACCTTCAAGGAACCAACGGACCTCACATTTGGCAGTGGTAGTAATACTGCTGCTAAAGGGGACTTCCTGCTGCAGCTGAGGTTTTGCTTGGTGGCCCTACTGGCCTAACCCGGTTCCCTGGACCTCACCTCTATTGCTTATGACCAAAAGCCTAGGCCTGTAGTCTCTCGTTGTATGTTGGACACGCCATGGAGAAACCCTCAAAAAGATCTTCTCACTTTATCTCCAGGTTGTAAGATGGAAGATGAGGACATCACAGCAGATTGTGCGGGAGAAGAGACAATGAGCTCAGCTATGGATGGTGGACGTCACAGTGTGGAGAGACCATGGAATCCCTCTGACTCTGAGCGACCTCGTCCTGTGGGGGATGGTGCCGGAATTCAGAAGAAGACATTTTCCTGTTCTGAGTGCGGGAAGTGTTTCAGGTCCGGATTAACTCTCTCTGCGCATCAGAGAACTCACACGGGTGAGGGGCTTCATTCATGCTCTGAGTGTGGGAAAGGTTTCCTTTATAAATCTGAACTAGTCACACATCAGAGATCTCACACAGGTGAGAAGCCATATTCGTGCCCTGAGTGTGGGAAACGGTTTTCACAGAAGTCCAACCTTTATGTACATCAGAGAGCGCACGACGGAGAGAAACTACTTTCATGCCTCCAGTGTGGGAAAGGTTATATTAATAAAGCAGCACTGGACAGACATCAGAGATCTCACGAGGGTGAGACGCTTCATTCCTGTTCCGAGTGCGGGAAAAGTTTTGGTACGAAGTCGCAACTTGTCAGACATCTGAGATCTCACACGGGGGAGAAGCCTTACTCCTGCTCTGAGTGCGGGAAATCTTATTCGCAAACATCACAACTCGTCAGACATCAAAGAACTCACACCGGAGAGAAGCCGTATTCCTGTTCGGAGTGCGGGAAAAGTTTCCCATCAAAATATGAGCTCGTTGCTCATCTTAGATGTCACACGGGGGAGAAGCCGTATTGCTGCCTTGAGTGCGGGAAAGGTTTCTGCCAAAAATCACAACTTGTCAGACATCAAAGATCTCACACAGGGCAGAAACCGTATTCCTGTTCTGACTGCGGGAAATGTTTTAAAGAGAAATCTTACCTCCACACTCATCAAAAAACTCACTTGGACGAAAAAACGCATTCTTGCTCTGAGTGTGGGAAAGGTTTTTTGGAGAAGTGCCAGCTTTTCAGACATCAGAAAATTCACACAGGTGACATGCCGCATTCCTGCTCTGAGTGCGGAAAAGGGTTTTCGACGCCTTCCCATCTTTCCAGACATCAGAGAATGCACACGGGGGAGAAGCCGTATTCCTGCCCCGAGTGCGGGAAATGTTTCACAAGGAAATATCATGTTTCCAGACATCGGAGGTCCCGCACAACCCTTGAGACATAGTGTCACAGACAGAGAGAAGCTAGATATTGCTTGTGGATGAAGAGAAGGGGAGATCAGACTACACAGCACCCTTAACTGTTCAGTGCAGCAGCCATGCCATGAGCCTGCCCAGGAAGCTGCATGTGCTTGGAGAGCCCCCTGCTGCCTGAATGAGGTAAAGATGATAAAAGTGTGCCTTCAGATTTGTATTAGTAAATGTTTTATTCTCCTGTACTTGTGTCTCAGTGTTTTCCTCAATGACGGCAACCCTAAACAAGACGTAGAAATTTAGCTCATGGTTGGGCCCAGCAGAGACATTTAGGGTTGACCGGTTGTCCCACTTTATGGAGATGTTTCTTAGGTGATATACATTGGGGTTATGTACCAGCAACACATGTAGATGTGAAGACCTCATATCACTCCTCTGTAAAGGAAGGCACAAGGACTTGCCACTTAGCCTCTGCCATACGGTGAAAATTGCCCAATTTTGTAAGTCATAATTTGTAGTGGGAACCGGAGATGTTTGAGTGATATACATTGGGTTGTGTATGGGAAGACCACATATCACTCCTATGTCAAGGAGGGTAGAAGGACTTGCCACTTAGCCTCTGCCATACGGTGAAAATTGCCCAATTTTGTAAGTCATAATTTGTAGTGGGAACCGGAGATGTTTGAGTGATATACATTGGGTTGTGTATGGGAAGACCACATATCACTCCTATGTCAAGGAGGGTAGAAGGACTTGCCACTTAGCCTCTGCCATACGGTGAAAATTGCCCAATTTTGTAAGTCATAATTTGTAGTGGGAACCGGAGATGTTTGAGTGATATACATTGGGTTGTGTATGGGAAGACCACATATCACTCCTATGTCAAGGAGGGTAGAAGGACTTGCCACTTAGCCTCTGCCATACGGTGAAAATTGCCCAATTTTGTAAGTCATAATTTGTAGTGGGAACCGGAGATGTTTGAGTGATATACATTGGGTTGTGTATGGGAAGACCACATATCACTCCTATGTCAAGGAGGGTAGAAGGACTTGCCACTTAGCCTCTGCCATACGGTGAAAATTGCCCAATTTTGTAAGTCATAATTTGTAGTGGGAACCGGAGATGTTTGAGTGATATACATTGGGTTGTGTATGGGAAGACCACATATCACTCCTATGTCAAGGAGGGTAGAAGGACTTGCCATTTAGCCTCTGCCATACGGGAGAAAATTGCCCAATTTTGTAAGTCTTAATTTGGAGTGGAAATTGGAGACTTTTGATGAGTGATATACATTTGGGTTTGGTATGGGAAGACCACATATCACCACTCTGTTGAGCATGGCTCAAGGACTTGCCACTTAGCCTCTGCCATACAGGGAATATTTCCCAATTTTGTAAGTAGCAATTTGGATTGGAAATTGGAGCCTGGTCCTTTAGGTCCTGGTGATCTGATACCTCTCAGAGGGTAGTTAGAGCTATAAAAGGAATTCAAGTTTTCAAATTGTGACTCCAGTCCGAGACGAAGTTGTAAAGATCTACTAATAAAGGAGCAAGGTTGGTCATGTTTCTGCTGCTATATAATAGGCCACCATTATAGATGTTGGAGTCCAATGGGATTTCCAATGTGGAGGATCAGATATGGTGTCCAGATGTTCAAGAACTGGATTATTCCACAGTGTCAAAGCAACAGGCAATCCCAGTTGTTTGGTCCTGTTCCAGAGCCAACTTGAGGATCTGCATTGTTAGCTTCCAAAGAAAGAGATTGGGAGCATCAGTAGAGTGGTCTACCTCTGTAGAGTGGTCTTCCTCTGTAGAGTGGTCTTCCTCTGTAGAGTGGTCTTCCACTGTAGAGTGGTCTACCTCTGTAGAGTGGTCTTCTTCTTTAGAGTGGTCTACCTCTGTAGAGTGGTCTTCTTCTGTAGAGTAGTCTTCCACTGTAGAGTGGTCTTCCTCTGTAGAGTGGTCTACCTCTGTAGAGTGGTCTACCTCTGTAGAGTGGTCTTCCTCTGTAGAGTGGTCTTCCTCTGTAGAGTGGTCTTCCACTGTAGAGTGGTCTTCCTCTGTAGAGTGGTCTTCCTCTGTAGAGTGGTCTTCCACTGTAGAGTGGTCTTCCACTGTAGAGTGGTCTACAACAGTCGAGTGCTCTGCTCTGTGGTCTACCTCTGTAAAGTGGTCTACCTCTTTAGAGTGGCCTACCACTGTAGAGTAGCCTTCCACTGTAGAGTGGTCTGTCCTGTAGTCTACATCTATAGAGTGGTCTACTAGCAAAATAAAGTGTTTAGGACTATGACCGGCATATGGGCACGTATAAGAAGACCTTGATGAAGAAGAATCATCCACCTGATAGGGGCAACTTAGGCCATGTTGTAATTTATTTGTAATCTGGTTTTTCAGAGGAGCAATGTTCTCCTCAAAGGCCATAGAAGGTCTTTAGTGATGGCAATTCCCAGATAGTTTTTCTGAAGAAACACTTTTAGGGGGTGCAGGATGGAACAGTGGTGGAAGGTCTTGGAGATAACCCCAGAAGAACTGAGTTTTGCCAATTAATTTTCGGACCTCGGCATTTGCCACGTTCCTTATATGAAGAGTAGATGTTAACGAGGAGCCCATATCACATAGATAAGAATTAAATCTTCTGCATAGAGTCTCCTATGAGTTCAGTTCTCCGGTATGCCATGGTAGTCCTCCATTTGCCTGATTTTACAAACAAGGGCTTCAGTCACCATGGTGGATAATAGTGGAGACAAGGGGTGTCCCGTAAAATAGGGGTAAGGATGGGGAGAGTATTCCATTAGCTAGCATATTAGATTCAGGGTGGACCAAAAAGTATGGACCAATGCCAACGTGAGTTGGGCATGCCAGTAGAATTGGCTGTTCCACAGAGCAGAAGACGTTTGCCGTATCTAAGGAGGCCAAGGAGCACTTCTGGAAGAAAATCGGTAAGTTGAGCTATGATTTGGGTTCTCCGAATGTTAATCACGGTGGACTTGCCGGGCAAAAAAACCTGTTTGGTCATCGTGGGCTAGAGACATTATGACTGAGTTCAACCTGGTAGCCCCAATTTTTGTCAGGGTTTTGCAATAAGAATTTAAAGGAGAACGAGGCCAGTGAGAGGCACAGTTGACTAGAACCTCATCGGGTTTCAGCCGGAGTGTAATAGTGGTATCATACATTGACCATGGCGGAGCACCGGCATCAAAAGCCTCGTTATAGTCAAGAGAGGGTACTTATTGCTTCTACACTTCCAAAGGCAAGCCATCCAGGCCGGAAGACTACCAGAGCTCAGGGATGTAATATCTCAGAGGGTTTAATCCCCTGAAAGATCTTTTTCCAACCTCTGAAAGTAATCAAATGTCAACTGAATGTCCCCCTTTTGAGACCAATACAGCCCTGACCCATCAAAGCATGGACTCCACTAGACCTCTGAAGGTGTGCTGTGGGATCTGGATGACCCCCCCTAATATTGAGTAGGTTCTCCTTCTCCTGACCCGTCTAGTAATGGGCTCCACTAGACCTCTGAAGGTGTGCTGTGGGATCTGGATGACCCCCCCTAATATTGAGTAGGTTCTCCTTCTCCTGACCCGTCTAGTAATGGGCTCCACTAGACCTCTGAAGGTGTGCTGTGGGATCTGGATGACCCCCCCTAATATTGAGTAGGTTCTCCTTCTCCTGACCCGTCTAGTAATGGGCTCCACTAGACCTCTGAAGGTGTGCTGTGGGATCTGGATGACCCCCCCTAATATTGAGTAGGTTCTCCTTCTCCTGACCCGTCTAGTAATGGGCTCCACTAGACCTCTGAAGGTGTGCTGTGGGATCTGGATGACCCCCCCTAATATTGAGTAGGTTCTCCTTCTCCTGACCCGTCTAGTAATGGGCTCCACTAGACCTCTGAAGGTGTGCTGTGGGATCTGGATGACCCCCCCTAATATTGAGTAGGTTCTCCTTCTCCTGACCCGTCTAGTAATGGGCTCCACTAGACCTCTGAAGGTGTGCTGTGGGATCTGGATGACCCCCCCTAATATTGAGTAGGTTCTCCTTCTCCTGACCCGTCTAGTAATGGGCTCCACTAGACCTCTGAAGGTGTGCTGTGGGATCTGGATGACCCCCCCTAATATTGAGTAGGTTCTCCTTCTCCTGACCCGTCTAGTAATGGGCTCCACTAGACCTCTGAAGGTGTGCTGTGGGATCTGGATGACCCCCCCTAATATTGAGTAGGTTCTCCTTCTCCTGACCCGTCTAGTAATGGGCTCCACTAGACCTCTGAAGGTGTGCTGTGGGATCTGGATGACCCCCCCTAATATTGAGTAGGTTCTCCTTCTCCTGACCCGTCTAGTAATGGGCTCCACTAGACCTCTGAAGGTGTGCTGTGGGATCTGGATGACCCCCCCTAATATTGAGTAGGTTCTCCTTCTCCTGACCCGTCTAGTAATGGGCTCCACTAGACCTCTGAAGGTGTGCTGTGGTATCCTGCACCGAGCCGTCAGTAGCAGATCCTTGAAGTCCTGTAAGTTGTGAGGTGATCGGCCTCCATGGATCGGACTTGTTGTTCCAGCACATCCCACAGATGATCCATTGGACTGAGATCTGGAGAATTAGGAGGCCAAGCCAACACCTCAGTGTTCACACTACCAGAGGTTTCTCGGGGCTGCAGTTCCTCTGAGCTCCACAAGATGACCAAAGCAGGAAGTCTCTATGGAAAACAGGAAGTGATGTCAGGTACAGACAGGAAGTTCCATGTAGGAGGAAGTAGAGAGGAGACATTGCTGGAACTGGCAGCAGAGGAGGTAATAAGATATTATTTTATATTTACACCCAGTAACCCCCCTCCCCCCGTCATGTCCGTCCTCCATAGTCACCGCAACGTCTTTTATATAGAGTGGGAATGTATATTAACCCCTTCAGGATCAGAACATTTACTCACATACGGGGCCGAAACATTTTCTTCATTTTGGAGATTTGTCCTTTTCACCTCCTCAGTCTATTCTAATGGATTATAGGACTTGAGGTGCGGGGGATGGGAGTATAGGGGACAATTGCACATCTACTCCCCCCGCTAAAGTCCGCCCC